GTATCTTTCCAGATGGGTAAGGTGAGGCACTGATGTACGCCCATACCATCAGAGAGGCAGGCTTTAATTGTTCCCTGATAATATTCTGGATGGTCCGTACTCTTTTTTTTTTTTTTAGTATGGAGGACGTGGCGTTCATAGTTTCCAAAAACATTTTCAAACTTTAGATTTGTCCTGCCACAGAACAGTTTTCCATTTTGTCTCAGTCCATTTTAACACATGGCTGCTTCTTTGCATGATAGAGCTTTAAGCAGAATGTGTGGATGGCATGGTTGACTGTGTTAACTGACAACTGACTGTTGTTTTGGGGTTGTTTTAAAGAAAATTGATTGGGCTAAACTGGGGCCAAAAATTTTGTTTAAAAAATTTGTATATATTTCTTTTAAACTGAATGAAAACTTTTGGAATTGAAACTGAACAAAGTATGGCAGGCCATTGTTTTATATTTTAAAATATGGCAGGTCATTGTGTATTATAATTAACAAAGCAAGGAAGGCGGTTGTATCACACAAATTATGGCAGGTCGACGGGTCATAATTTAAATACATGTCAGGTCGTATCATAATTTATGATGTATGGCAGGCTGTTTTATCAGATAATTAAAAATGTGGCAGGTTGTCTTATATAATCAACTAGGTATGGATAGACCATTGTGTCATAATTCAACCATATGGCATGCTGTTGTWTTATATAATTAATGTTTGACAGGCAGTTAGTTATAATTAAAAATAATGGCAGGTCATTGTATCATAATTAACGAAGCAAGGAAGGCTGTTGTATCATATAAATTATGTACGGCAGGTCATTGTGTCAGATCATTAACTAGGTACAAACAGGCTGTTGTCTCATATAATTAAACTAAATGGTTTTAGAAATCCTCTGAGGGATTTTTGTGTTTGTGCTGAGTTTCTTTTAATGATAATGATAATAATTAATGATAATGATATTATCTAAAAAAAATGTACTTTTTAATAAGCTTTGGAGAAGGTTGGGATTAAATAAGTTTTTTACTTCTTCCCACTCCTTTTCAAATATGTTAATGTAGTTTTCACTTTATCATTTTTTGTTTTGTTTTCTATACATGTTTGAAATAAACTAACTAACTAAAGGCTAACTATTATATAATTAATGTATGGCAGGCTCTTGTATTATATGAGCAAAAACCTATAAAACATCAATTTAAAAATTTGTTTTTTGGGGCGGTTTCAGTTTCAATTTAATTTTTTTGTTTCAAATACATTTTTCTTTGAACCAGCTTTATGGCCACAATTGAGCTCCATATAAC